GGCCAGATCGGTGAAGGGCCAACTCTCCCAGGATCGCGAGGATCCAGACTGTCGATCGGTGTCAAAATCTCGATTTCGAAAATGAGGCCGATTTTCGCAAAATTTAATGATGTAACCATCATGATGTTTTGCGAAAATCGTGAAAAAATGGATGTCCTTTATTTCGATTTCAGTCGATTGGCAGGATTCTCCCGATCGCGGAAAGACATGCCTCGCCCAGATCGGCCGCCCTATTGCAGAGATATAGCGTGCAGAAGAAACCAGTATTTCAATTATACGGCAATCTTCGGTAGGCTATATATCAGACAATTAGAGCCAGATCGGTGAAGGGACAACTCTCCCAGGATCGCGAGGATCCAGACTGTCGATCGGTGTCTCGCCCAGATCGGCAGCCCTATTGCGCAGATATAGCGTTCAGAAGAAACCAGTATTTCAATTATTTGCCAATCTTCGGTAGGCTATATCTCAGACAATTAGGGCGAGATCGGTGAAGGACCAACTCTCCTAGGATCGCGAGGATCCAGACTGTCAATCGGTGTCTCGCCCAGATCGGCAGCCCTATTGCAGAGATATAGCGTGCAGAAGAAACCAGTATTTCAAATATACGGCAATCTTCGGTAGGCTATATATCAGACAATTAGAGCCAGATCGGTGAAGGGACAACTCTCCTAGGATCGCGAGGATCCAGACTGTCGATCGGTGTCTCGCCCAGATCGGCAGCCCTATTGCAGAGATATAGCGTTCAGAAGAAACCAGTATTTCAATTATACGGCAATCTTCGGTAGGCTATATATCAGACAATTAGAGCCAGATCGGTGAAGGGACAACTCTCCTAGGATCGCGAGGATCCAGACTGTCGATCGGTGTCTCGCCCAGATCGGCAGCCCTATTGCAGAGATATAGCGTTCAGAAGAAACCAGTATTTCAATTATACGCCAATCTTCCGTAGGCTATATCTCAGACAATTAGGGCCAGATCGGTGAAGGGACAACTCTCCCAGGATTGCGAGGATCCAGACTGTCGATCGGTGTCAAAATCTCGATTTCGAAAATGAGGCCGATTTTCGCAAAATTTAATGATGTAACCATCATGATTTTGTGCGAAAATCGTGAAAAAATGGATGTCCTTCATTCCGATTTCAGTCGATTGGCAGGATTCTCCCGATCGCGGAAAGACATGCCTCGCCCAGATCGGCCGCCCTATTGCAGAGATATAGCGTGCAGAAGAAACCAGTATTTCAATTATACGGCAATCTTCGGTAGGCTATATATCAGACAATTAGAGCCAGATCGGTGAAGGGACAACTCTCCTAGGATCGCGAGGATCCAGACTGTCGATCGGTGTCTCGCCCAGATCGGCAGCCCTATTGCGCAGATATAGCGTTCAGAAGAAACCAGTATTTCAATTATATGCCAATCTTCGGTAGGCTATATCTCAGACAATTAGGGCGAGATCGGTGAAGGACCAACTCTCCTAGGATCGCGAGGATCCAGACTGTCAATCGGTGTCTCGCCCAGATCGGCAGCCCTATTGCAGAGATATAGCGTGCAGAAGAAACCAGTATTTCAATTATATGCCAATCTTGGGTAGGCTATATCTCAGACAATTAGGGCGAGATCGGTGAAGGACCAACTCTCCTAGGATCGCGAGGATCCAGACTGTCGATCGGTGTCTCGCCCAGATCGGCAGCCCTATTGCAGAGATATAGCGTTCAGAAAAAACCAGTATTTCAATTATACGCCAATCTTCCGTAGGCTATATCTCAGACAATTAGGGCCAGATCGGTGAAGGACCAACTCTCCTAGGATCGAGAGGATTCAGACTGTCGATCGGTGTCAAAATCTCGATTTCGAAAATGAGGCCGATTTTCGCAAAATTTAATGATGTAACCATCATGATTTTTTGCGAAAATCGTGAGGAAGTGGATGTCCTTTTTCCCGATTGCAGTCGATTGGCAGGACTCTCCCTATCACGAAAATACATGCCACTCCCAGATTGGTCCATAAAAAGTCGAGATAGCCAAAGAAAGTATGAAAAAATCGTTGTAGAAAATTAGTTTTTTCTAATTTAGATGTAAAACAATTAACAACAGACTACAACAGGCCAGTTTTGCTTGATTGTTTTCTCCGCTATTTGTGGCCCGATCAGTGTGATGGATTCCTGTGATCGAAAAAATGTACCCGACTTAATTGAGCCCTTATCAAGGACCCAGAATATTTTTCCCAATGAAACATATTAGAATTTATTTATTTTTTTTTTATTCGACAACGAATTTAAAATAATCCTTAACTAACATATCTCTATCTTAAATAATAACAAGAACAAACCATTACAAAATCATGCATAAAAAAGGAAAAATTCCATAATCAAACGTTTGTTTATGGCTCCTTTCCCCTGGAAAAGGTCAAATCGCATCCCAGCTGGCAACGCATTGTGCTGGCAAAAAGCCCAACAGATTATTGCCATACTCGTAGTTGGTTCGGTGGAGATCAACCACAAAGGGTGCTTGGGTCCTTGCAGGCGTACTCAAGCCATTCCTACTAAGCAGATCAGGGCAATCGATGTTACCCACTAAGAGTTTATGAATAAAGTGATAAAGAAACGCGTAACTAAATTAGTATACATTTTTGGACATATTTTAAAATATATCTTCTTTCACAGAGGACTTATGCACCCTTCACTTTATCTCAAACCGAGTCGTATCCGATGTCCGCCCGCCAGACGGAGTCCTATTCAAGCACTAGCGAGGCGTATTCGAGACATACCGAGATCTATCCCAGCCCTTGCAAGTTCCGATCCTAATAAGCCGTCGTCATCCTTTGACCTGGCCATCGACAACAAGGACAGTGACTATGGCAACCAAGGGAAGGGCTACGAGGGCTACGCGTGCTACTAGACTCTAGAAAGATCTCGTTGTTGTTAGGTTTAGGGATGTACACGAATATACATTTAGATAGTAAATATATATGTATTCCACTTCGTTTTTTACTTGTACTAAGCTAAGTTGCGATAAATAAAACTATTGAAAAATCATCCTTACTGTATTCTGTATCGGGGAAACTATTCCGATTAGAAAAAGGCGTGGGACGCCCAGATAGGTTCACAAATAGCGATTAAAACAGAAATTTTTTGATTGGGGAAACAGTCCTTGATCCTTAAAAATTACTCCATTAACATCATGTCGACCACAGGAAGTCATTGCACACCCATATCGGCCCACCAATAGCCGAGAAAACTAAATATGAATGGTTCAGATTGTTGTAGTCCTTACCGAAGAATCAATGAAATTTTTCAGATCACGGCGGGCCATGACACCTCCCGATCAGGCCACAAATAAAGGAGAAAACAAGATATGTATATATGTCTGGATAAAATATCCTTGATCCTTAATAAGGAATGCGTTATCTCAAGGAACCTATTCCGAACTCAGGAAAACGTCACACGTCCCGATCGTGCCTCAAATATCGGAGAAAACAACAAAAGTTGTGGCTGTTAATTGTTGTACAACAACAACCATCAAGCTGCAGTCGATTGGCAGGACTCTCCCGATCACGAAAAGGCATGCCGCGCCCCAATCGGCTGCCGTATAGCAGAGATATAGCGTGCAGAAGAAACCAGTATTTGCATGATATGCGAATCTTCAGAAGCCTATATCTCAGACAAATAGGGCCAGATCGGTAGAGGACCAACTGTCCCAGGATCGCGAGGATCCCGACTGTCGAGCGGAATCAAAATGTCGACTACGAAAACGAGGCCGATGTTTGGCAATTTTAATGATGTCACCATCATGATTTTTTGCGAAAATCGTGAAGAAGTGGATGTCCTTTTTTTCCGATTGCAGTCGATTGGCAGGACTCTCCCGATCACGAAAAGACATGCCGCGCCCCAATCGGCTGCCGTATAGCAGAGATATAGCGTGCAGAAGAAACCAGTATTTGCATGATATGCGAATCTTCAGAAGCCTATATCTCAGACAAATAGGGCCAGATCGGTGAAGGACCAACACTTCCAGGATCGCGAGGATCCCGACTGTCGAGCGGCATCAAAATGTCAACTACGAAAATGAGGCCGATTTTTTGCAATTTTAATGATGACATTCCCCGCCCCAAACAGCCCATATTTATAGGCTAATAGCCGAGATATTGCTAAAGAAAATAAATCTGACGTCAAATAGCCTAAAATTACAAATTTGCAATCTATTAGGCGAACAGAAATCAGCAACTTAACAACTTAAGTGAATTCCTAATTTTTTTGCATACTTTTGGGGATGTGAAACGGAAATTTAAAATACAAAATTTAAAAAAAACCAGCGACCTTCTACTGATTTCTATTTGCCTGGTATCCCAGATCTGAAAACCGAAAAATCTCGGGTGTGAGTGCCCCCAAATTGAAAGTAGTGGTGCTCCTGTGATCGGAATTGCATCCTTGATCAGATGACCCCGTTATTTGTGGTCCCATCTAGGCGTGCGACAGCTTCCTGTGATTGGAAGAAAATTCTTGATTTGATTAGGTCCTTGTCAACGACCAAGGATCAAGATTATTTTCTCCAGCTAAGGACCCAAACAACCCCTGCTAGTCATATTTCCCGATTTCCCGATCTGCTATAACCGTTTGTGGCAGGGCCGCAGGATAAAGAGGATTTCGAAGTCTAGAAGATTAATATTAATTGGGAAAATATTAATTTTTTTTTATTTTTCTTCGTACCGCCTAACAGTCTACTCGCCATCGTGCTCGTGCATTCATCCCACACTACTAGTTTACATTGCTGCAAAACCTTTGCCTCTTGGAAATGATGCAGTTTGGAGTTTCGTTGCGTTGCATATTCAATGGAAATTTTACAGCTGAAAGGGCTGCTCGACCGCCTTCAAGCAAAGTGGCTGCAATGCCTGACGAAGCCAGAGCTAGATAAATTTCATTTTTTTATTGATTATTAATTTGATTCATTGCATTTCGGGTTCTTCAGACTACATTTTTATTAAGTCACAAACACACAACACTTTTTTAATTTTATAGAATTTTGTGGCTTTTAGATTTAGTAGTATAAATGCACAGTAAAGAGACGTTTACATTTCTAGTTTTCAAGTGACATTTTACCATAATAGACTAAATTAACAATTATTTTAAGGAGGTGGCGCTTATCCGAGAAAAATGTGGAGGCCAAATAGATCTTTGAACTATATAAGCAAGGTATGAAGTAACTTAACTGTATTAAAAAAAAGTATATTTTACTATAAATTATGGATTGTACGAAACTTTTGGCTGGAGATCACAGTAAGTCATTCCAGGCCCAAGGCAAGAGGCATATCCCATCATGAAGGGTATGGTATTTTGCTCATAGACGCCTGTAAACAAATGCGCCCAAGGACCTGAAATGGCAATCAGCTAATTAAATTATACATATAGATCCTCCAGCTTACCGTGAGCATACACAGCCACGTCACCGCCTCCATGGGTCTCCTCTGACATGGGCACGCCGTGGGGATAACGCGCATCCTTGTCACCAATATCCGAGGTAGTGAGATCAACGCGTTCCACCACGCCATCCTTCGATTGATAGAACTTTTGAAATTCAGGGCCGTTGGCATAGGAGAGAGTGGCGTAGGGCTTGGAATCTACATCACTAAACTCCGAATTCAAGCCGGCAATGCTGTTATTCACATCTGGATAGCCGCTAATCGAGACCGTGTGTCCGTGGTCGGCGGTAACGACAATCAATGTGTCCCAAGGATTCGTCAGAAGGCGAGCCTTTTTGATGGCATTCGAGAATTGGACAGTTTCATCCAGGGCCTTCTTGGCCTTGGTTTCATGATGGGCATGATCGATGCGACCACCCTCGACAAACAGAAAATAGCCCTCAGGATCCCTGGAAAGGACATTGATAGCTGACTCTGTCATCTCCGCCAGCGTGGGAGTGTCTATGCTGTCGTCTAAGTGATAGGCCAAGTGCGAGGCATTAAACAAACCGAACAAGAAATCCGTACTGCGAGCATCGTTCGCCAAGAGATCGGTGCGATTAAAGACCACTCTGGCGTTACCTGGCTTGCTCCTCTGCCACTCATCTATGAGGTTCCTACCATCTAAACGCTGACCCTGATTGCCATACACATCCTTTTCGGTGTTGGGCAAGAACTTCGAGGTGCCGCCACCCAGGATAACCCGCAGGCGTTGCCCCACATCCCCATCTATCAGCTGCTGGGCAATGTCTGGACATTTGCTGGCATTTTCCCCAAAAGAATTAACGTCAAAGTCGCTCTCAAAGTCCCGATTCGAGGTGTGGGCATAGACGCCCGCGGGGCTGGCATGCGTTATCCGTGTGGTAGTCACCACGCCAGCCGACTTGCGACCCTTCATTGCCCAGGCGGCAATCGAGGAGAGGCGATTCTGGGGCAGCCTGGCCCCTGCACAATCATTCACCTGGACATTGGGGGTGACTCCAATGGTCAGGTAGTTGGCTTTAATCCCAGACAAATATGCGGAGGCCGTGCACGCCGAGTCGGAGACCTGTTTGTTCACACAGTACGTCTGCGATAAAAAGGAATAAATAAAGAAGCAATTAGATTTATTTCAGATCAGGTGAAGGTACATATGTACCTTTGAGAGTCCCACGAAATTGAACTTTTCAAACTCCAGACGATTCCGCTCTCCCACTACTCCTCGCAATTGGCCCTCAAAGATCCGACTGGCGGTGACGGTCGGCACGGACATGCCATCGCCCAGGAAGAAGATAACGTTCTTGGCCACATACTGATTCGGAGGCGTCGACAGCTTCTCGAAGAGTGTGCGCTGGGCATCGTGAAACCAGAACTCCTTGCTCTTTAGCTCCTCCACGGAGCGTAGATTCCAGACGCGCTCTGAAATTAAAATCCAAAAAAGTTGGGTTGGCGTCATTCTGGGCGAAAGTACATTCTGCGACTCTTTGTACATTAAAATTAACTATTTGATATTCTTTTATATTCGTTTAACACTTGATTAATCCAATTTGGAATGTGTTTTGTGTTTACTTTCACACTCTCACTGTACACAGCCGAGATCTTTTATCTTTGGTATATTTTATGGCTGAGAAGTCAAACCCGTTAAGCATCACGCACCTGGCCCATATTTATACTGACAATGGCACAAAGCGAATTGGAACACAAACGCTAACAAAAATCCACGCATTGTTGTGAGAATTTTGATGAACCGCTGACAAGCCCGAAACTCTTACGACTGTTCCAATGGATCCGATCCGACTGATAGCGAGCGTGGAGTCCGAGACTGAGACAAACCTTTAAGAAGTCTACGGACTGACTAAACCGCATTTGGTAACTGTATGCGTATTTATAGAACTCTAAAAAAACACCAGAAACAACGACAGAACAGAAAAATTACCGATATACTCGTACGGGGGGATAATAAATAAAAGCATGGCTTTGCATTAAATACATTCTAAATGAGCTTATCACCCAGGAATTTGGTATTTAAATGTTATCAGCATTAATGCCCTTATTTAATAGTCCATGGTGAAGTCTTGCGAGTCAAAATCAGGTTTTTCGTTGCACCGCTGCATTCATTAAGATAAGATCGTTAAAGCAAGACAAAGATGGAAGAGATTGTGCATTGCATTAGAATAATTAATATATTCGGATGCTGGAGTCACTAAAAAACTTTTTATTTAATTAGACGCAATATATTATCAAGTTGTTGGTTAATAAATTAATGGGTTCGTTAACCTTTAGTGCGGTGCTAATGCCGGATACTGATCTAAAATGCATTTCGGCTGTCTTTCTCTCCGATTTACTAAATATATTAATGCTTTTTATTGCATTATTAATTTTTAAATGACGGAGGTGACGTTAATTTCTTATAAACAGGTTTTCTAGTTGATTAAAACAAAACGATTACTTGCAAACTTAGAACTGAGTACATTTTCGGCATATCAAATGATTTTAATTACGTTGCGGTGAGATTTCATCATACATTTTATTTATAAATTTAAATACGCATGCTTTTTAAATTTTCGCCCTCCAAATCGTGCATTCCTGCATCGATTATTCCACTGGATTGCATTTTCCTTTCCACTTACTGACTGCAATTTAGGCGCGCAACTCTACTATCCAGTCGATAGTTTCGATAGCCGTTCGTTGGAAATGGCTGCACACCCAAGGCGATCAGATATTATAGGATTTAGGAAATGTTCGTCCTTATTTTTATTATTTTAAAACAATCCAATAAAGAGAGTCCTTAAAATAAGCCAATTTTGGAAAAATTGATTCATCAATCGGATAAAGCTATGTGTTCTGGGCTGAAGGTCCTAGCTAGCTAGTAATATTAAACCATACACAAATAGCGAGGAACATGGATTTCTATCATGGACAGCGAACCCATTAGACCACCCATTGTACCCACTGTTGGCATTAAAATACACCCTACGAAAATGACGAAACTTAAAGAATTTTAGCTCAGTTCATCGTGTTTTATTTTAATTACAGAAGAAGGATAGGATGGATCTACAAGAAGAATCAAAAGACAATATTATTCTCCTGGGTTAGCTCAAGTTCTTAACCTGTTTAAATAAAGGGGGGGCCAAGTTCGTTTGTTACATTAGTATATACGCTATATTTTGAAAATGAGTAGGTTCGGTATATTTCTGTGGACCACACCGTGTACTTCACCGATAAATGATTTTCTTTCCACCACGTCTAGCTCACACACCTTTCAAATTTCATACTTTTCATAGTATTTTCCAGTATATTTTAAGACGTGTTATGAACTCACCCTTTTGGCCAATACACCAATGTAGAGACCCCGTAGAAATGCAACTCAGAGCCATGTCCCAGGCCACATCGAATACTAATTCGTGATCAGCATCGAATTTCTGATTGTTTGCCATTGATATCTATTTTTTCAAAATTTTCGGAAAAAAAGGCATGTCAAAAAATAGATAACGGAGGTTTTGTCACACAGGCGCCTTTATGGGTAACATGTATAGCAACATGTAACTAAAGTATAGTAACAAGTGTGTAGTTAGCGTGTAATTACCATGTAATAAATTCATTTGGTGGAAATAGTTGTTGACCGGTTTTTCTTAAACCTTATTTTATAAGCAATGCAGTAAGGAGGAAAACTTAAATTTAATCAGACTTGTAAGAAATCAATTTAATAATCGGATAAAACTATGAGTTCAGATCTGAGGCTTTTGGCTAGCTAGTAATATTTAACCGAACATGAAAAATGTCGAACATTATGCAACTTGAATACATATAAATCGCCAGTATATTTACAGTATATTTTGAAATTTGTGACGTAGTTTGGTATCAGACGGTATCGATAAGTGTGCGGTCACACTGCGGATCTCCGCCATTTTATAGCTGAAAATTTTCGCAAAGAATAAAGTTGTGTATACATAAGTAGAATGTACATTTTTGTGAGAAGAATACATTTTTACGGTGAAAAGCAAGGCAATTAAGAAGTTAATTTCAACTAAGCGAGATTTCCAGCGCTATTGCGAGTATACGGGCCGCGCGCCGGCTGCTCCGGCTTGAAAAGACGACTGTACGAAGCGCGTGTGCGAGAAAAGTGGAAAAGTGCAGCAAACACTGATACGAATTAGGTCGATACTAAATTAGGCGCAGCTCGGGGAAACCATGGCTGATGTGGTCTTGGACTTGTACGCCGAAGACCTGGACAAGGACTTTGCCGGCCAGTCTCAGGTAAGTGGTGACGACAGTCGCTTCGATGGATGGCGTGTGAATTGCGTGCATGTACACATTTTCATCGATTTGGTCACACTGACGCCTAATGAACCCCACACACACTTTCGCGACACTTGTAGGACGAATTCGGAGGCGACGGTGTTGATCTCTACGATGACATTGGCGGACCCACCGAGGCGGCTGCCTCTGGGGGCGGGGGCGGCGGCACGCCCTCGGCAGATGGCGCAGCCGGTCCAGGCTCGGGGGACTCTGCATCGAGCGGAGGCGGCGGTCCCAACGGAGTTTACCATCAGGGCGGTGGTAGCTTAACTCCGACCATGAACCGCCGCTACCAGCTATACGTGGGCAATCTCACCTGGTGGACAACGGACCAAGACATCTCCAATGCTTTGAGGGATATTGGAGTCAACGACTTACAGGAGGTGAAGTTCTTTGAGAATCGTGCAAACGGACAGTCCAAAGGTTTCAGTGTCATATCGCTGGGCACGGAATCAAGCTTGAGAGCCGTTTTGGATCAACTGCCAAAGAAGGAGATGCACGGTCAGGCGCCGGTGGTCACGTACCCCAGCAAGCAAGCCCTAACGCAATTTGAGAGTCTGCAAAAAACGAGACCCGTACCGCCGCCGCAGCAAAATGGTCCGCCCCGCGGTCCAGCTCCGCCCAATATGGGTGGCGGTCCCATGCCCCCACATCCAGGTGGCCCTCAAGGTGGTCCGCCTGGGCATCCGCCCCGCGGCATGAATCCCATAATGGCTCCCGGCCAGTACCGCCCCCAGCATATGTCGCAAGTCCCTCAGGTGGGACCCAACTCCGGACCGCCGAGAATGCAGGTGTGTTTCTATAATTTTATTAGATATTCTTCCTCCGCATGGAGTCTCTATCTCTATCCCCACACCCACCCCTTTTAAGTTTCATTTATAGATTTTCCCTCTGATTCCTCGAAAGTTATCGGTATTATTAACGCCATACACATTTTATTATTGATCCCCCGATTCTCATTAAAATTGTTCTGAATGCAAAGTTTTGTTGATTCTGTAAAACTTTACAATAAATAAATTTAAAATTTATATATTTAGTTTATACGAAATGTCCCCTCGCGGATCTTTGCACTCGACGTAGAATAAAACCATGTTTTATTGGTCATCGTTCAAAACGAATTGCATAATATTTTTGTTTATGATTTTAAGTACTTTACTTTAATAGTAACCTTTTCGGTTTAATTACAAATAATTTCAGAGAAATTTTTGTAATATTTTCTATTGTTTGTATACTCCTAATAATACTCCTCCTAGATGTATGAACATTAGCTTAGATCCCATTTCGAAATTGTAACTCGAATGGCGAATGCATATTGAACTGTCCTCTTTGTTTCCATCTTTTGTAATTGTAATCCTGTATTAAGTGATTTCATAATCAAATGTTTATGTATTACGCTTTATATTTATATTCTATTCCATGTCTATGACAACGCTTACGCACACTCCCACAACAACAACAACAACATGAAACGTAATTTACGTATTAATATAGCCCCCAATGCATCCGCAGGGAGGTCTCATGGGTAATCAACAGCCACCACCCAGATATCCATCAGCACAGGGCCAATGGCCAGGTCAGAGGCCTGGCGGGCCACGACCAGGTCCACCAAACGGACCACCGCAACGACCAATGGTAAAAAAAATCCCTAACCGAAAATGAAAATGAGAAAAAATCCATATCAAATATGCCACTTACTGTCAAAAATCTAACGAAACAGAAGAACCAGAAGCGAAATCAGAACTAACAATTATTTAAGCTAACTTTAGAGTACGACATTGTATGTATGCGCCGCATAAGAGATGTATTCAGAACATTCAGAAATAATTCCATGCTGCACCTATAGACCATGAGACATTCTCATTCATTCATCCATTCCTCAGTCTTTTGTCTTTGCTCACGCAATCATTATTAATTCGTTCATTTCGCGTTGCAGTTCCAGGGACCCATGGGGATGCCTGTAAGGGGACCTCCAGGTCCGGACTGGCGCCGTCCACCCATGCATGGTGGCTTTCCGCCCCAGGGTCCGCCGCGTGGTCTTCCCCAAGCACCAGGGCCAGGCGGACCGCACGGAGCACCTGCACCACACGTGAATCCAGCTTTCTTCAACCAGCCTGGCGGTCCAAATCAGCATCCCGGCATGGGCGGACCACCGCACGGCGGTCCGGGTGGTCCACAGCCAGGGATGAATATGCCACCGCAACAGGGTATGAATATGCCGCCGCAGCACGGGCCACCGCCACAGTTTGCACAGCACGGACCACGGGGCCCATGGCCACCACCGCAGGGTAAGCCGCCAGGACCGTTCCCCGACCCACAAATGGGCCCACAGCTCACGGAGGCCGAGTTTGAGGAGGTGATGAGCAGAAACCGCACGGTCAGCAGTTCAGCAATAGCCAGGTGCGTTTCCATCTCTCAATCCCTTAAATGTTTAATTGAATTGTCAATAAATGATTTATTTCTATAGAGCTGTGTCTGATGCCGCAGCCGGCGAATACTCCAGCGCCATTGAGACACTGGTCACCGCAATTTCGCTGATAAAACAATCAAAAGTGGCCCACGATGAGCGTTGTAAGATTCTGATCAGCTCACTGCAGGACACGCTGCACGGCATCGAGGCGAAGAGCTATAACCGACGCGAACGGTCGCGCTCGAGGGAGCGATCCCACCGCAGCAGGCAGAGGCGTGAACGCTCTTCCTCGCGGTATCGCGAACGGTCTCGTGAAAGAGAGCGCGACCGTGATCGCGAGCGTGAAAGAGATGGCGGGTGAGCACGAAATGGGGAAAGCAATCTTTTACAATCAAAAATCTAATGAAATTTTCGATTATCCAACAGCTATCGCGAACGGTCTCGCAGCAGAGAACGAGAACGTCAGGCTCAAGATCACTACAGGGATGAAAGGTAATGCAAAACAGAATGTTCTAGATGCTCAATATGCATCAACTTTAATGGCAACATTATCCTTGCTTGCAGCAGCAGTCGCTCGGCTCGTCCAAGGAAGTCGCCAGAGCCCGTTGTGGCAGAAGCAGCTGAGGCGCCGTCATCGAAGCGCTATTACGAGGATCGAGAACGGTATCGCTCCTCGGATCGGGAGCGACGCGACCGAGATCGGGACCGCGATCGTGAGAGGGAGCGTGATCGCGACAGGCGGGAGGAGCATCGGTCCAGGCATTGACTGCTGAAGGATGAACAGCCACGCAAGCGAAAGTAAAGAGGAGAAGGAATTATAAAGTAACAAATACACAACACTCTTATTAACAAACAAATAATGCCGCAAGCTTGGTGGGTGGTCAGTGGGCAGTGGCCGGCCAGCTGTACAAGCTATACAAATTAACAGATTTTCAATTTGTATCTAACATTACCAATACGTAGGATATGAATATGGCATATAACATAGTTTCTCCTAGACATACTAAACAATAAGCCGATATGTTGACAAGCCTCTATACCATCAACGACGCATTGACTGTCTCTGGACCCTCACTCGACACATTCTTGCAGCGACAGGAGGAGCAGAAGCAGCACTACTGTATGGAGGATGCTATTGGCAGTCATCGTGGCACATTTTCGACACAGATGGGCAATGGGATGGATGATCATCACACAACTAATCCTTCGCCGCCCTCTTCGCAGCAGAATTTCAATATTATTGTACTCTAATATTTCGGTTTATTTAATAAAACATATACTTATGAAAAAAAAAAATAATTGTTCGACGAAACCTTACCAAAACTGTCTTGCATTGTGTGTCTTCTTGTATTTTATATATATATATATATTTAAACAAAAAAAAACAAAAACCCACCAGCCCTTATTAGTTAATGAATTTATAATTGTACAACAAAATTGTATGTAAAATATGCCAAAATTATAATTGCACTGCTGTGTGCAATTTTTACTGAAATTGTTATATTAACAAAATCATTTCTGAGGCCGACTGAGGCCAAAAATCGTCAACTTAAATGTATTTTCAATGACTTTCATTGATTCTTTTGTTGTAAACATTCGTCATGCATTTGTTTTAATTTTTTTTTATTTATTTTATACCGTACCATACTATATTGTATATTTAAGTCGATCATTACCCTTTGCCTGTCTCCGAAAGTGTGTGAATGGAGTTGTAGCTTTTAAATCGCGACTGATCTCATCCGCCGAGTGCACTGTTTTGATAGGAAACCTAGTGAAATCATGTTTATATAAGATAAGTTGGATGAGTGTGTATTCCGCCCGAAGTATAAGACTAAATTACTCTATAAACGAAAGCCCTGACCGCATCTAGCATAGCAATACTCTACTAACGCTCGAATCGACCTTTTATGTAGTTCCTAACAACAGATCTGTGTTAAAAAGTTTGCAGATAAAAGTAATCTAGCATTTCATTCGTATTGTATCATCTGCGTTTTAGTTTTTGATATTTTTAGGTTTTACTTCTTATTTTACTTGACATACATTTTGTAAACGATATTCAAATAAGATCATGGCGCACTAACCCCTAGTTACAAACATTTACAACACCTCTGTAAACCAGAATGTTACGTTTACCAGTTTGATGCACCTGTAACTCTCCCAGGGAGAGGCCTAGGCTTTAGGGATCAAATGTTACGAGCTTAACTGCAGAAAAACGATGTCTTGTACAATTTTTAAACTGTGATAGCGATCTTAAATGAAATCTATGAAAATTTATACAAACGAACACTCAGTCTATTAAGTCATGTTTAAAACAGGTAATGTGCTCCAACTTCTGTTTTTATATAGTTTGTAATCTAGCTCAACGTCCCAATGGCCAAATCTAGTCTTTCGCATCTGACGATACATTTTTAAGTCAAACCGATGCCTTGCAATATTTTATAATTTACAAATATACCGTCTATTTTGTTTTTCAAAAAGATGTACTGTTGACTTTTTTGAATAAGGCGCCAAATGAACAGAAAATCAATCAATTTGTGTATTCTTCAAGCGAAGTTGTTTCGCTTCTGTGGCGCGCGCGTCGTGTTTGCTATGCAACTGGAATGTTCCAAATCTAAACGTTAGCCAACACTCCTCTTTCCATCTCTAGAAATCACTGATAACAATGAAAATTTGATTTTTAAAGCTATATTAACAAACTTAGCGTAGGTAAACTTCAACACGCATTTTTTTTAATTTTCGCCCTCTCAAATCGTGTTTTAGTGCATCGAATTTTCCACTGGATTGCATTGTCCTTTTCACTTACTGACTGCAATTTAGGCGCGCAACTCTACTATCCAGTCGATAGTTTCGATAGCCGTTCATTGGAAATGAATGCATACCCTAACCGATCAGAAATTATAGAATTGAGGAAATGTTCGTCCTTATTTTTATTATTTTAAATTGGCATTAAATTCCATGGTCGGTTTTGCCAATTGCAAAATATGAGTTCAAGGATCTCAGAACCTATAAAAACCAGAGCAACCAAATTTGGTATCCACACTCCTGTGATATCGGACCTCTACCGTTTCGTGTCCAAATTTCGCCACACCCCCTTCCGCCCCCGCAAAGGACGAAAATCTGGGGCATCCACAAATCTCAGAGACTATAAAGGCTAGAGTAACCAAATTTGGTATACGCACTTCTGTTAGATCTCACTATACGTGTATCTCGAAATTTCGCCCCACCCCCTTCCGCCCACACAAAGGACGAAAATCTGTTGTATCCACAATATTGCAGATTCGAGAAAACTAAAAACGCAGAATCATAGATAACGACCATATCTATCCAGTTGCGGAATCTAAATCAGATCGGATAATTTGTATAGCCAAAAGTAACAAATAAATTCGCAGTGGCTACGCAGCGCCCGACGTCACGCTCAGACTGATTTTCTGTCTCTCTCGCACGCACTCTTTGTCGTGTCGTTTAATATTAGCGGCGTCTGCCGGAGGAGAGCCATACTGACTAAGTATCGGGTATAAATGTAGAGTTGCGGTCTCCGCAGCAGCTCACAAGGTTCCCCCTAGTTGTAAAGTGTGTTTGCCACTCAGTAGCTCTCGCTTCAAGTTATGCTTGTAAAATGCTTCCAAGAAGTCTAGAGAAAACGATTAAGGATACATTCAATTCCTTTTCTGAGAACTCGAAGCGGCACAGAAAATTTAAGGCATTTAAAAAATGTCTAAATTCTCCGGAGCACCAAATACTCAATCATTATGAAATTCGCTGGTTGTCTCTGGTTGTCTCTCTGAAGGACTTATATATAAGGAATAAGGACTTATATGAAGGATGCCGCACGTGCCCTGAAAGAAAAAACAAGAAAAAATTGGTGATCGTGGAGACGAAGATCCCACCAAGACATCAGCCGGAGGCATCAACATCAGCGGAAGCGGTGGACATCGGCAGCAGCAGCCCGGTACTGGCCAGGCCGGAAACCTGGTGCGAGAACAGTCAGCGGAGCACCGGCACCAAGGAATCCAGCGGAGCTGGAGAAAAACAAACCACGATCAAACAAAGACATCCGCGAGATTAAGGAAGCAACAACTTTAAATGGAGCTGCCAATTCGGCCGAGATAGGGCTAATTTTTCTGTTAGTATTTTTTTGTATTAGTATTTGTATTCGTCGGCAGAGTCTAGGTTATTAATTAATATTGTTAAAAAAAAAGATTAGTAAGAAAATATAACATGAATATAATTTTAAAGTAAAACGTAGTCATGAGTGAGTAGAAAATGGTAGTTGGGTGGGACGAGAGTGAGAAGAGCGGGACCCTGAATATGAAAGGGAGCGCGCGAATTCAAAAAAAGGCGCTCATGGAAGTGTGGGACCCTGCTAGGGATAACGAAACCAACTATCCCCGCTGACGAAAGTGCCAACGAGGACAAGTCTGTTCTATAGGTTAGATTTGTTTTTTTTTTGTATGTTTTGTTTGTTCAATCCGTCCACTGGCTTATCGGGTCGGAAACACCCCTGACTTCCCCGTGAGCGAGCTGGGAACGAAAGGCCAGGGTGGCAAAGAGGCGGATCATAGCAATCTCCAATTAAATGAATGCAATGTTTTGTTACGTTTTTATAAAGAAAAAAAAATGTTGTTCATCGGTATTTTCTACGGTATATTTTGAAAATGAGGCGGTATGTTTCGGTATATTTCTGAGGGTCGGACTGTATATTCTATCGATAAATCCGCGGTCACACTGTTTACATCACTTACTAAAACTTGTGAATTACAGAAAAAGAAAACAAGTAGGCGTCTTGTAGAACTTTATTTCAGCAAGTCATAAAGCAGTTTGTCTGTGAACATATCAGATTCACTCCTCCGTTTGAAAAACTAATAAGATCTGAAAACTATTTAACAAGCGAAATAAAACAAGAAAATGGCAGCAGCTACAGCACAGAAATTTAACGAACGTTTTCAGACGTTTATGACGGGGCTCAACGATCGCTAGTGAGTATTTATCTAATAGTGGAAAAGGGCAAGCGGCACTGGGGGACTTGCACTTGGCCCAGAGTCACTGGTGCAAAATTTAATTTGCTTGGGACGCGCTGCGTCATAAGTGATAGAACTGACGTGTTGTTTTGGTATTGAACCACATCAACAGTTGGTCGCCAACGAATCGATAGTCCTTGAAACTAGCTTACCTTGTCTTTATCCTCCCCCTTCCCCAGTGAGCCGCATGTGCGCCAGCACCTGGCCAAGGTGTACATGGTCTTGGGCAGCACTGCAGCCGCGACAACTGTGGGAGCCCTCTGCCAGATGCGCGATGTGCTAGATCTCGGTGTGCTGGCTGCCCTGGCCACGCTGGTGCTGGTTTTGGGGCTGCATTTCTACAAGGACGATGGAAAAAACTATCGCACACGTTTGAGCATGCTCTATGCCTTTGGATTTTGCTCTGGGCAGACATTGGGACCGCTGTTGGGCTACATAAGCAGCATCAATCCGGCCATTATCGTCACGGCCCTCACTGGTACCTTTGTCACCTTTCTATCGCTCTCGCTGGCCGCACTCCTGGCCGAGCAGGGAAAGTATCTATACCTGGGCGGCATGTTAGTAAGCGTGGTCAACACCATGGCCCTTTTGAGCCTTTTCAACATGATATTCAAATCGTACGTCGTTCAAGTGGTAAGTAAAAAAGTGAATCTAATCTGTGGATGCCATTTAAATCGCATATTTTCTCCATTAAACAGACTCAACTATATGTGGGAGTATTCGTCATGGCCGCTTTTATAGTTTACGATACTCAAAACATAGTACAGAAGTGCCGCAATGGTAACCGCGATGTTGTACAGCATGCCCTAGATCTTTTCTTCGACGTATTGAGCATGTTCCGTCGTTTGCTCGTAATCTTGACTCAGAAGGTATGCTCCATTCGTTAGGGCTTACATTTAAGTTGCTATAGCCTGTAAGCCCCCCGTCCCACAGCTCAAGACCTTTATGGTTTAGTAGTCTATTGAAGAAAATCCAATCAAATGATCGCCGAACACTTTGCAATAGTTTTCCCCAAGTCAAAAATCTCTTGAGATTAAAAAATTCAGACGGTATTTGCCGAGTCTTTCCGCATAGCCAAGGCAATAATTATACTTTCACAATTCCCAGCTAGGATCCCAAGTTTTCCTCCATTTTGCGGAAAGTATATTTATTTCCAATAAGGTCGAAAAAACATTTGCAAAGTTTTCTGGCTGTTTGTGAAACTATATTTATACACTTTGGTCTATAAGTGCGAGGATCAATTTACCAATTAATTTAATTACTTTCAGGAGGAGCGAAAGCAAAACGAGCGCCGCAGGAGGAACTAAGGTCTGGCGGTAGCAGCAAAATACAACCAAAAAACAAACAATTTATACATCTACCATATGTACACTACAAAACTGATTACGTTAGAAAATTCTCAATTTTTTCAAACATACGGCCGTGCATATTTCGGCTCTTAAATTACAATACACTCAAATGTTCATTGTGCAAAAGCCCAGGCGAAAAATTCTATATTTAAATAAACCCGAAGTTAAAGAAAAATTCATCACAGTATTGTACCCTTAAATGGAGTTATCTTTATCTAAACACCCCATAATAGATTACTAATAATGATAATAACGATTGGAGTGGGGCTGCCCTTGTAATGTGAGGCAGCAATTTAATTAGGCTAAGTGCATGGCCTGCAGACCATCCATAATATCCAGAGGGTCAGACGTTGGTCAGTCGACATTCAACATGCCGCCGGCCCAGTCGGAAAGTGCGCTGCCAATGGTCCAGCCATTGCTAAAGGAATTCCAGCTACTCTTCTATATATCCAAGATTGCTGGGATACTGCCGCAGGATCTGGAGAAGTTTCGCACCAAAAATGTGCTGGAAAAGTCGCGCAATGGCATGGTCTACATGCTGGCTATGCTGATCGTCTATGTACTGCTTTACAATATACTGATTTACTCCTTCGGGGAGGAGGATCGCACCCTCAAGGCCTCGCAGAGTCAGTAGACCATTACGATTGTAGGGCAGTGGCGCCGTTATTCAACCTTGCTTCATTCCATCCCCCAGGCACCTTGACCTTTGTGATAGGGCTGTTTCTCACCTACATTGGCCTCATTATGATGGGCACGGACCAGTTAACAGCCTTGCGTAACCAGGGCCGCATTGGAGAGCTCTACGAGCGCATTCGTCATGTGGACGAGCGTTTGTACAAGGAAAAGTGTGTGGTAGACAACAGCCACATTGGGGGACGCATTCGGTTTATGCTAATCATGACGTTCCTCTTTGAGCTCTCCATCCTGTTGGCCACGTACATCAAGCTCGTCGATTACACCCAATGGATGTCCGTTCTGTGGATTGTCTCGGCCATTCCCACTTTCATCAATACGCTGGACAAGATTTGGTTTGCTGTCTCGCTGTATGCGCTGAAGGAACGCTTCGAGGCCATCAACCAGACGCTGGAAGAGCTGGTGGCCACCCACGAGAAGTTCAAGCTGTGGCTGCGGGGCGATCATGACACTAGCAGTCGAACGCTGGACAGCTCCCAGCCACCGGAGTACGACAGCAATTTGGAGTACCTGTACAGGGAGTTGGGCGGCTTGGACATGGGCTCGCTAAAGGGATCTGGAAAGAACAAGGTGGCGCCTGGTGGGTGAACATTTTGGATATTTTTATCTTAAGTTCATTGTATGTCTGGTTTCAGTTTCCCACTCGATGAACTCTTTTGGCGAATCCATTGAGGCCTCTGACAAGGCCACTCATCATCCGATATCCGTAAATATGGCGCACGAGAGCGAGCTAAGCAACGCGTCCAAAGTGGAGGAGAAGCTAAACAATCTATGCCAGGTGCACGACGAGATCTGTGAGATTGGCAAGGCCATGAACGAGCTGTGGAGCTACCCGATTCTCTCTTTGATGGCGTATGGATTCTTAATATTCACGGCACAGCTGTATTTCCTCTACTGCGCAACACAGTTCCAGTCGATACCGTCACTGTTCCGCTCGGCCAAGAATCCTTTCATCACTGTCATTGCATTGAGTTATACGTCCGGAAAGTGTGTGTATCTCATCTACCTGAGTTGGAAGACCTCTCTGGCCTCGAAGCGCACTGGCATCAGCCTGCACAAGTGCGGCGTGGTCGCGGATGATAACTTGCTCTTCGAGATCGTCAATCATTTGTCGTTGAAGCTGCTCAATCACTCGGTGGACTTTTCCGCCTGCGGATTCTTCACTTTGGACATGGAAACGTTATACGGCGTCAGTGGTGGCATCACCAGCTACCTCATCATATTGATTCAGTTCAATTTGGCCGCCCAGCAGGCCAAGGAGGCCATTCAGACATTCAATTCGCTGAATGATACCGCCAGCTTGGTTGGCGCTGCCACTGAAATGGACAATGGTAGCTCCACTTTGTACGATCTGGTTACTACCACCATGCTAACGCCAACAGTTTGAAGATGATGCTGATGTATATTTTGTCTTGTTTGCACCTTTTCCTGCACTTATGTTCAATTTCAGCACATAAAAAACCATCACACTGCAGTCATTTGTTTGTACTCTGCTTTGGCCTCTTTCAACTCACTGAGAAGATCATTAAATATGACATTGGCCCCATCGTAATCCAAAATGGCCACACAAGAGATCTGTGCACGCTTCTGAAGGGCATAGGACAGCTCGCGTCGTAAAAGCGAGAAGCAGTAGGGCACTTTTTGCTGCTGGCACAAGTCCTTCAAGCCATCAATCGTTTCGTCCAGGCCACCTAGAGAAATACATATAGCATTATTGTTTGATCCTAGAATATCTTATACGCTCTTACGTTCTCCTGGGCAAATCTCACAATCGGTGGCCATGATTAGAAATTTTACTTTTTGTATACGTAGCCGCGCTAAAGCCTCCCGGATGCCCAAAACGAAGCGAGGATGTGCCCGTGCCTTGATCTCGTTTTTGGTATAGGCGCGTTTCTGGAAGCGACTCAGATCCTTCAAGAGCTGGGTGGTTAACAGCTTGAGCTGTGGCCTGGTGGAGTTGTCGCAATAGCTGGAGGAAACTACATATGTTTTAAATTAAATACAATTATGAAATATTTAAAAGAAACCTTCTGAAGCGTCGCGAATGTATTGGATGGACTTTGTCTTGTAGATGTTCCTCTTTGGCACGGAGTTTTTCCAGTTTCTGCTCCCTTTCTTTAGAAACCTCTGTATCCAGCAACAGGCAATCCAGCTTCTTTCTGAGCTCCTCCTCGTATTTAGGGATTGGAACGTTTAACATATTTTGCTTCTTCAGCCTGCGATAGCTGCATATCATCATTTTCAATCCAGTGACCTTTTTCTTGGGATTAAGGCGAGTTTTCCCTTTGCGCTTTGCTTCATATAGGGGTTTTGTGATGGTCAGATGTGGACGCCTTAGCTTTTTAGCCTTGTTCTGCTTTTGCGTCTGTCGCGACTTGACAACAAAATCGAGGAGCGTGCATTGCAGCTGGGGCTTCTTGTGCTTATTTTTGTACTTGGAGCTGCGAGGTAGTCTTGGGGCTGTTTCTCCTTCATCCTTTTGGATTTTGTGGAACGTGTTGTGATCTATAATATTTAATTTGTCCGAACGGCGCAGCATTTTTCCGAATTTTTCCATTGTTTTCCTTCAGTGTTGGATAACGCAAAAATTAAATGTCGAGCCGAAAGAAAAAAATTCAGATCGAGATATCGAATTAGTTTGTAATATTCAATAATATTGCATTTTCTTTCTTATAGCTATGAGTGTTTAATACTTAATTAAAAACATGGTTTGGCTTTACAGTTTACGAACTACAGTCTGGTAGGAAACAACTTATCTTAAGTAAACAATGGCCTACAGAATTTAGGATGAAGGGCGATGCTATAATCTTATGCTGCGATCTATGGCTAAGTGCATATCGTTGAACTCTTTGAGATGCGAGAGTATCTGGTTGCGCTCGTGCTCATAGATCTCCCAGTATTTCAGGTACTGGCCCACATGCTTGAGTACCAAACTGCGGGCAAAGTCCAGGCAGCTTCGGACATGCTTCATCCGTCGTCGACAGCTGGCCAGCACCGATCGCAATTGCTGCTCTGGATCCAGTTGAGCGATAACAAACGCAAATACATTCTTCACATCAATCCGGACATAATTCGGAAACACGACGGATTCGGTGGGACGCGCTTCCGGAAAGACAAGCAGAGAGGGGCAGAGCGGCATGGAGAACTCCCATGGAAGATCGTTGGCCTGGCTGTCAAAGCGTATGAAATTTACGCTTGGACTGGTGAGCAACGCCGACACCTGGAGAAATGCTTGAGATAGTACGGCGGACAAGGCACAGTCTGGACGATACATGAATACCACATTCGTGGCGTTTGGCCGCTGGAGAGCCTGCAGAAGCATTTGTCGGTTGAAATAGCGATGGAAAGCCGTGTCCGGAGGTGGCAACGCGTTCTTATAAACCTTCGGTAGTGTTTTGGCATAGAACTGACGGATGAAATCCTTGAGGGCCACATACGAGAAGGGACGGTCCTGCGGCATTACATGGAGGGCCTCCTCGGCCATGTCCAAAATGAAGACCTGCACCGCTGAGGAATCTCGCTCGTGGGGATGGTGGTGCTGATGCTGCTGTATGCCCAACTGCTGCAGATAGTCGCCGTATTTAATGGAATCAAAGATCACGACACCCAGAGATCGATTCTTTGGGAAATCCTCCCCAGAATTTTTCCAGATAAGTTGGCTGTACTTGGTCACCATATTGGCGATGCCAATCTTCATGGCCGGCGTGCCATGGTTGGAATGGGCGAGGCACAAATTGCGCCGGTGCAGGGCCAGCAGGCTTTGCGACTCCGTGCCCCTGCCTACCGAGAGCTCTAGGTGGTTCTGGTGGGTGTAGTGTAGCCAGACATAATTGAGGTACTTGTTGATTCTATAGTAGTTGGCCAGAGTCGCAGCATTCAGCTGCCAGGCTCTGTAGCATTGCTTGCCACGTTGTTCTCTATCCTCAGAGGTTTTTTCATAAAGTTCCGCTGGCATTTGCAACAGGGAATCTACGTTTGCATGGCTGTCGTCTTTGGCCCAATACGAATCACAGCTGTCTGTCTGTTTTTTCAGCTCGGAAGCCATTTCTTTGACCATTACCATGGGCATGGCACTCTGATGGCTCTGATGCATCCTTACGCCCATGGCCAGCACGGGAGTGTAGCGCGCCTTCAAAGCTATTGTCGTTGGGGTTCCATAACCATTCGAAAAGAACACCAGACTCTTGAGGGTATGACGTACCCATCGGACTATGCCCAAAGCTCGCCAGTCACTGGACGATGTGTTGAACGTATGCACACCATTCCTGCTGTCTATGACAACCAACTGCGGCAGTGTGACGTCTTCCCCTTTCAACATGCTCTTTGCACTCTTTCCAAAGTTAAGGGCGAACCGTATATTCCTTTCGGGATCGAACTCCAGCCAGCAGACAGCGGCCGCTATATAGCGTTTGTATGCCAGACTGTCTGCAGAGTCCAGGAGCGCCAGGACAACAGCATCTGAGTGTTTCCTCAGTCCTGCCAGCTCCAGGCTGGTGTGCACCCGATCGACGGGCTCGATCAGATAGTTCATGAACCGCGCGAGATCCTCAAAGTTCCATTCTCCGGAGTATTGAAGAATATTTCGTTGGTTGTAGCGCACTATCAGAGTGGGCCACTTGTCCGGATAGCCGCCAGCGCCAACTACTCCTGGATTTGGCACGTGAGTGCTGCTGCAATTGCACTGGAAATGCCAGCAGTCGACGGCCCCGAAGAACGCATATTCGTGGTAATAGTGTGCCAGTCCATCGTAGAGCGTTTTGGCTTGCTTGGCCTCACTCGACCAGGACACGTAGTGGAAAATCATCGCAATCTCGAAGTCAGATGCCCCGGCTCTGACTTGTGGCACGCTGCGACCAGGACACTCGGCGATAGGCGCCTGCTCCCGCCTTGAAGTTTGGGCCTCTGTGAAGCAGACAGCGAGAACCAGCAGCACCAGGTTTAAAAATAAACACATTTTTGGAAGAACGTAGCCGGTGTGCTGGCTAATTTAATAATGCAAAGAGCACCATATGATTGCAAATCGGTGGAAACTCTGGCCACACCACTGAGTGTTCATACCGAATACTGACAAACAGGCTTCAGATCACCTGTCACATTATAACCTTATAAATGATAACAATACTTTTAGACTTTATAATGTTATGTTGATAGATACATAAGGGATCATAATTTTCAATAACTATACATAGTTCAAATTCCAACGGATAATTTCTATCAAAGCTACGGCCGCACTGAAAACATCTAACAACCCTACCTTTACTGCACAGCCGATATCGATCACAGACAAATACAACACTGACCAGCGCATATGCGTTAATTAATCACTTTTACTGTTTACTTTTTTAATATAAACTGCGTTAATTAAATTAAAAATTTGTGCAACAAGAACCAACTACGACGCGAAAACGAAGCTAAAATCTCATAACAGCTCCCAGCAGTCGTTACAGTCGTGCACCGCCAATCCGTTCTAGCACTCGAGGAAATCTGTGAAGTGAACCTGAAGCAAGGCCTCTCCGCTCTGAATCTTTGGCAATCACAAAACACAAGTGTTTGTTGGAATGCATATGTAAATTCATTCGAGGAGAGTATCGGAGCGAGCGCATATATAATTTACAGTTTGGCCTTCCACTTTCCAACCACAACAACAAAGCAGCTACGACCATACACACGCACACACTCACTCACACGCTCTCACACTCTCGCACTCACGAACGCACTAATAGTCACACAGAGCAGAGTGAGAGAGATAACCTGGTGTGAGGAAATCACCGTCATCACCTGTCCCCCAGCCCAGTCCAGATTTTGAATTGAAACAAGTAGAAAACGCACTGCGCGTACAGAACAGACAGCGGACCACCATTGAAATATGGGGCTTTTACTCTCCCGCTTATGGCGAATGTTTGGGAACGAGGAACACAAACTGGTGATGGTGGGCCTCGACAATGCGGGAAAGACGACCATCCTGTACCAGTTCCTAATGAACGAGGTGGTCCACACGAGTCCCACCATCGGATCCAATGTGGAGGAGGTTGTGTGGAGAAACATACACTTTCTGGTGTGGGACCTGGGCGGGCAGCAGAGTTTAAGGGCCGCCTGGAGCACATACTACACAAACACAGAGCTGGTGATCATGGTCATAGACTCAACGGACCGGGAGCGGCTGGCGGTGACTCGAGAAGAGCTGTATCGCATGCTCCAGCATGAGGACCTGAGCAAGGCCAGCCTTCTGGTCTATGCCAATAAGCAGGATCTGAAGGGATCGATGTCGGCGGCCGAAATCTCACGGCAACTGGACCTGACCTCCATCAAGAAGCACCAGTGGCACATCCAGGCGTGTTGTGCGCTTACTGGGGAGGGCTTGTATCAGGGTCTGGAGTGGATCGTTCAGCGCATCAAGAACAAATGACAGGCCACTGTAGCGTACGACCATAGCTAATAATTGTAGAAGGGTAATCAAATTTTTTTGTAAATGTAAAGCCACATAATACTGAGAAAAGGGTGTAACAGACTTTAAGCGTTTCGCCGATTGTTTAAAAAGTTGTTGCCAAGCCAATTTTATTAAGTGTATAAAATAACGACCCCTCAATGATGAAAATTTACGAGTGTACGAGTATGATAATGATAATGTCTAAGATCTAAGCCAATTAACTACTTCCAATAAAATTACAAAAAAGAGTTTATTTCGAAACTGTTTTCGTATTAAATTGAATACAGAATTGGACGTATCTTTCCTCTCTTCAAACATTGCCTTCTAATTGACATTGTTAGCGCGATTCACTTGTTTGTTGATGTGTGAGATTGATTTGTACTCTATCGTCTAAAATAAATACATGGTTGTGTATAGTTAGTATTTAAATTAAAAGGCTTACTCGCATCCGCCAGTAAGTAACCCGAAAAAAGTTTTAGGATTAGGTTTAAATATTAGAAAACTAAATATATAGCCACATGAACAGTTTGATCACAAAACGTAAAAGCAAAATAAAACAATATAAAAACGGTGATGCTTAAGTTTAAGTGAGATTACAGGAGCTGCTGCAACTCTTCAGGGGTTTCCCTTGGCCTAGGGTGATGGTGTTCTCTTCCACTGCCTCCACATTGTTGGCATCGTGTTGGCGCTGCAATGGAAATACAAGCATTAATGATTGATTCAGAATAAAAAAAGCCAGAGCACACCTTAAGTTCGGTGGCCAGGCAGCGGAAAGCATCCTCTACATTCATGTTCTCCTTAGCGGACGTTTCCATCACAAAAAGGATTTCAGGTATATATTGACACATTTGGCGAGCCTCTTCAAAGTCAACCTCGCGCTCCGTCTCCAGGTCGCACTTGTTGCCAATCAATATAATCAGCACATTCGACGCCGTGTATCTACGCACCTCCTCGATCCACTTTTGCAGATTGGAGAAGGAAGACCTCTTTGTAATGTCATAAACTGCAGCGAAAACAATTACAAATTAATAAACTAATAATATGTATGTATCTGCACATGTGCGGCACTTGAGAAGATAACAAGACTGCCAGCAGAGAGAACACTATTAAAATCAATTCCTCGCAATAAAATTAAAGCGTGGCGCGGCGCTTGTTATCAGCGAATCACGTCGTTCCTCGACAGGAGCTCCACTACTGATAGCGCCGAGGCAGCATGACAAATGAATGGGCGTATCCGAAAGATACCGACTCACCAATTAAGACTCCGTTGGCAGACCGATAATAGCTCTGCGTAATTGTGCGAAACCTCTCCTGGCCAGCCGTGTCCCAGATTTGTAGCTGCAGGGATATGATTCATTATTGTCAACTTCAAATGACGCCACCGACCACCCTTTCAAATACCTTAATTTGTTTTGCCTCAACTTCTATGGTTTTCATGGAAAAGTCCACTCCAATCGTATTGCCATGTCGCTCTATGTAGTTTCCCGTCTTGAACCTGTCCACTATGCAGGTTTTTCCCGTCCCACAATCTCCGATCAGGACAATTTTGAACAGGAAGTCAAAGTTCTCCTCGTTGGGCAGTGCCATCAAAGTCTGTGGGTTACGGGCCGACATTATGCCTGGCCGATGTCGTGTGTTGTGGATGGCAATGGAGGGAGTTTCTGAGAGTTTTTTTTCCAATGAAAAATGAAAACAAAGATTGAATAAATGCACTTGATAGAGATGATAGATACGCAGCTGTTCGACCTATCGCTGTCCAATCGTTATTTTGCACATCGCTAAGAAGAACGATAAGTGGGCAAATCGGTTCGTTGATTTTTGAATTATTTTTGTATAAATAAAAATGGAATAATAGTTGACTGTTGACAATATTTGCTTATCCTATTCAGTCCTGCAATACTTTTCAAAATAGAAATCTATTGGGAAGATCATATCATTACGTAAGAAAGTCATAAATGTTGGCTATTTATTTAAATGAGGCAATAGATTCAGCAATAGCAAATGGAAAGCACTTGTGCGTGTGAATTGATGTACGAGTACATCAATTTAATTGAAGCTACCATCACGTACATAGGTCAGGTTTTCTGATAACGTTTGCGTTTGTCTCCAACCCAATAAATTTTCACCACGTACCCTAATGATGGCTAACAAATTAGCTTTATTGAGTGATAAATATTTATAGTTATTGTGAAATTTTCGTCATATTTTCCCCAATGCTATTTTAATTGACTTTCCATCCAAATAGAGACCTTGACCCACATCCAAGCTTCTGCTTCTACTTCTACTTCTAGATGTGGAGGAGACTCACTTTCAAACCGCAGCGGAAGCTGAGGCTCCACTCACGGTACAAAACATGTTATATGCACATCTGGATCTGTCTTTGTATCTGCATCTGTGTATGCAAAGTAGCTGACTTGCTGACCAACTGCTTCGATTGCCAAGCGACTTGGAAACCGCATCCCAGATTCGGCTGTGCTGTGTACGCACTGTCGCATCCATTTCGCATGGAAAGTTTAATTGCTGCAAGCCAAAGTCGGGGCCAAAGTCTAGGCCTGAGAACTTGTCTGTGTTCACGATCCACGATTAGGCCTGCCTGTGGTGTTGTGATTTTGATGGACGATGTCCAGAGTGAAACTAATTGCGACCCAGATCTGTTCAGGGAAAACCCTCACGATGACTCATGACTGAAATGCCAGGAAGTGTTCCTCACAGACTCCTCACAGATGGAGTCGCAATTCACTTCACGAAACCACTCTCTGGCTTATCACCCATTACTCGCTGTTCGCTCTTAGCTGAAAGAAAATCAAACACCAAATTGGCAACTTCACACAGAAACCCCCACACAGGAGATCAGATATTTCTGTCTTTTATACTGGTTTGCTGTTTCGGCTGGCGAGTGGCTTCTGCTTTTGCTTCTGCCTCGGACTCCATGCCATGCCTCTTCTGCTGGCGGCTTGGCTTCCTCTTCTTGGCTCATTGTGGTTTTCGGTTTCGGCCCGTTCGTCGTTGCTTTTTATCGTTCGCCTCGGCCGCTGTCCGCTTTAGTTGAATTTCAAACCTTTGCTCGCGCGGTTGTTGCAGCGGGTCCTCATAAAAAGCAAAAGAAACCGAAATGTATTGAAGCTACTCCTTCTAGAAAAGGACCAGCACAACTCGTGTATAATAAAAAGTGAAAAACGTGTTGAGATATCTTCATGACTCAAACATTAGAAAAGACCAACTTGATCTTCCGTTGAACTCTGCGAGAAGAGGCCAGACTATAGGAACTTTCAGCGGGAAAACGAAAATAGGACAAGCGGCAAGTCCAAGTTCAACTCGAAGATCGTTCCCAACCGATTGAGCAGAGTCTTATGTAAGCTCTCTTCCTCTAAAAGAATGTACCAAAAAAACAAACAACCAAAAAAAAACCAAAAAAAAATTACATTACCTAATTGTCATGCATCCAGCGTTAGCTTGATTCAACTTTCTATACCATCCCTCGATATCTGATATCTGATACGAGTGCTATTTTTTGTGTGATGTTTGATTGATTTCCTCGCACATGCCGAGCACGCACTGGACGACACCACTTGCACTTTCCTTTGTCGAAATGCCTCTCGCAATCATTTGCTGGATTTCTAATTAATTATTCAGTGCCAGTGACAGTCCCAGTCCCTGTTCAGTGCGCGGGTGCAACGTGCCTGCCCAAAAAACAAAAGACATGAGCGACGAACTCGTGGTTACTTGGTTGGTTTTTTTTTTTTTTTTTTTTTTTTTTTTTTTATTTATATTTTTTTTTTATTGGGGTAAATGGGATAAAATAATCAAAATTATCAGTGGAATTTTGTTGATTCCACCAATGTGTTGTACAAGTGTCTCTACTCCACTCACCTGCTGACCCAATTTTCGGTTTCATTGCAAAAATTAAGTAAATTACTTTATGTCGCGCCACAAACGAAGTATCGTATCGTATCCCACTGATTATTGTTGAAGTAAAAACACTCTTTGGATTCTGAGAGCGGACAATCAGACAGGCAGACAGACAGACATACGGACAGACGGACGTGGATGGACACTCTTCCGCCCATACTTAGCGATTTCCAATTAAAGCTCAGCTGCACTAATTCGCCATAAGCTGCAAAGGCTTTTCTCTCAATCTCAATCTCAGTCTCAATTCTCACTTCTCGACCGGCATTCCAAGCTGACATTTGTTGCGTGTTTGTTGTAAATGTCTGCCATGCTACTGTCGAAAAGGTAGAGAGACTATCACATGAAGAGTGTTGCAGATATAAATCGAGATACAGGTACAGATAGTTTATATCTGCTTCCTGAAAGGCATACAAACTTCGACTCTGTTTTTTCTGCTATTTTTCTTTTGCTGATTTCCTATAGAAATCAAAATGAATCCTTGGTCATAAGCGAGAGTCAAAGAAAAGGCGTCTCTCTCACTGTCGCTGTGTGTCAACTGCATTTGGGTTTGTGTTTAGATTTGGATTTGGAGAGAGACTGCGACTCCTCGTTCTGGGTAATGGAACGCACTTGCCCAGTCAGTGGTGTCTGCAACTGTCAGCAGTCCACTCCTCCTTTCAGCCTAGTCAGTGGCCCCATTTTCATTTTCACGTCCATCATTTACACTGCAATTAATCCCATCTGAATTTTATGTGTATTCTCATGTGTGTACAGGCACGCCCATCGGTTGTACACCTGTCTGGTCTTGGCAGCGTATTTGTTTAGGCCTAATTTGCGTGAATCCAAGTCTCCAATAAGGAGAAACTCCGGTGGCCAACCTTTGAATTATTCGGACTAGAATGTTTGGTCTAGAAAGCTGGTGCTGGTGCTGCTGTGAAACCTGCCACCCGAATGGCCATCAAATTGTAGCCTTGAGAAAGTGCAACACAGAATATGGTTAGGCTCTAATCATGGCCTACACTTCAGGCCTCCTTCTACATGGTCTTTGCCGCCTTCAAGTGGTGCTCCGAACCGGCTCCCTAGCTGGCTGGCTGGCAGCTAGAGTTCTCAACTTTGTTGCATCATTGGATACTGCTCTGCTGCAGTCCGAGTAAAAGTGCGTTGTGAAACGAGAGATCAATTTGTAGTGCTCTCTATTTGGACTGGGTTCCTTACGGGGTGAAATCTTCAACAGGTTTGGTTTAGAATGATAAATCAATTTTCTGGGATATGCTTTCACTGAATACACACGCACACAGATCTCAGATCCATTGCATTGCCAATTCCTAATCTCGAGCTCTGCTTAATGGGGATTTTTATAGCTGTTTTTGGTTTTTTCAAGAGTCGTAATCAGAATTCAAGCTTGCAGGCCTAACGGGGCATATGCAGTTGCTGGAACAATGCCAGATCTCTGCTAGTGGAGAGGAGCTTTCCCAAAAAAACAAACGAGACACGTTCGACAGGGAAACCAGTTGCCAGTGGATCTGCTGGTCCATCGAGTCATCGAGTGGAGGGGTTAAGAGCTGGATGAGAATGCAGAATGGGGTGTGCAAGAGTCGCCAGTGGATGTTATACAACTGTTGAATAATGATAGCCATTTGTTTTAGCAGTTCCATTTGGGAGCTAGCTCCCCGAGCAAGCTCGTTGTCCAAGTCTTTGGTTTGCAACTAATGCTCCATAAAGAGAGTAATCATCTAAGGATTAGTATCTCTAATCTCTAATCACTAATCCAATCACTTCCTCAATCGTATTCTCCAGCATGGAGCTGTGCAACATATCAGGCGGCCGCCTACCGCTTTTAATGATGCTGCTGCTGCCAATCCTCTGCTTATGTCAAGGCACATCAACGCTTCATCGACAGGCGGATGCACAAGATTTGGCGGCCGCACAGCTGGCGGATGTGGAGGCTGAGGCCCAGACAGACGTCGACGCGGATCCAGATGCACCGCATATACGCAAGAAGCGTCTGATTTGGATTACGGACGACGGACGGCTGGCACTGCCGCCGGGCACCTCACTGACATTCACGCCGACGATTGCCATGCCACTGGTGCGGCATCCACCTGAGGGCTTCTTCTCCAACCTGACCATCAGTTTCCCAGTCACAAGTGAGTCGTTGTGCGCTCTCCAATAATTATTCACTTATCTTTGGTTTACCCCAATATCAATCTATGCAGTTGACTTTGACAAGCTGGGGCTGACAGATAATCAGAATCCCTTGGGAGATCTGCCGCCACTGTTTTCTCGCTCCTTTGGTCACGAGGCGGGGCACATGGTAGGCGAATATGTGGCAAGGTATCTCCACGTGCAACGCCGCAAGCGGGATCTCAGCGAGCAGCGCAGCCGGAGCGAGGACTCACAATTCAGGGTGCACGACGAGGGGCCAACGTTCCCGGATCTGCCCGCTGGAATGCAGCATATCTTCCACGGCGGAGAAAGGGTGCTCCTCTATGGAGTGGTGGAGGATTTTCTATCCACATTTGGCATGGATGGAAAGGCGTGTCTTCTGCGCACCATCTGCGAGATGCATTCCCGTAGTTTGGAGAAGTTCGGAGTCTTCGGAGAGATGACCAAATTGTTCTTAACGTGAGTACGATAATTAATTCTTTCAATATAAATGGAATGATACTAATGATCCTCATTTTAGGGTCACGGAATCGCCTTTTTCCGATCTAGTGCCCGACTACGTGCAGGCGCAAAGAGTGGGCGAAGGTAAGCAGGCACCTGGAGAATGCTTCCCCTACTTCAAAGCCTGTCCAAAGAGCATCTTCAAAGCGCTGGCCAGCAAATACGCCAAGCCATCCACATCCTCGAGCCCCACCAAAGCGAAAAGGAGGACGACCACCGTTCGACCCACGGGAGAGTATCACGAACAGCAGGCACTACAGCTGCCTGCCAGTCGGGACAGCAATAATGATGTCTATATGTAGAGCAAACCAGAAAAAAAGAAAAACTCCCATTGTTGACCTCGTTTAGGGATAGTTTTGAGCGGGCAGTCCGAACCAAAAGGTTGTGTTGCCCATGAATTGCGTGAACATGCAGAGTCATTTGTCTGTAATTAACATTTACTAATTAATTTATTATTATTTTTATTTTTTTTTGTATTTATTGTTAGTCATAGGCGTTGTTAACTGCTTAGTATATAGCTCTGTTTTGTGCTGAAGTGAAGCCTGTAAATAATTGCAATTGTGGCATATTATCCCCCCGCCCAACAAATCCCCGTAACAAATGAACATAGAATAAATTCTGAGTAACAAATGTGTGGCCACAGCCGTTTATATATCGAATTTGGTTTGCTGGCCGGTGCTTTACGTATACGTAATGTGGGAAAGCGTGTACCTGATTTCTTCCCCTAAATGATGCTAAACAACTGCTTCAGATGATCCACGTGGATGCATTTGATATAGTACAACATTGTGACATTCTGCACAACGCTGTCCAGGGCCATTGCATCGTGCATCCAGCGCTGCCGATGATGCAACCCAAGGGTGGTGGAAATTTGATATGTCGCTTATTTATTGCACATGCGGCATTTGACTGAATATCACTGAATGATTTCAAACTACCGCCATTTCTAACTGCTGTCCCTTTACCAATACTGTAGCTTTCGGTAGCTTTCAATCTGAGAGAGTTCGCTAGCAAGCGAACTAGCAATCACTTCTGCTAGTTCCATAGCAAGCAGCATGTACGTATATGTACATAGCAGCCAGCTTTAAAGCTGGTAAATTGGTATATAGATTTCATTTAAAAACAAGTAACGTCACATTAAGTGACCGATGCAATTGATATGCAATTGCTTCGATGTCCACGTCCATCTCAAAAGTTCCCAAAAGGCCAGCCCATCTGTAATTGTTCCATAGCAGGACTCTTTGATAGTTTTAGAACCACTCATATAACTGATTTTTTTTAAAATAACAACTTAAATAGATTGTAGCTGTTGACATTTTACAATTCAATCAAAAGTATTTCTTAAATATAGTCAGACATGTATAAAACTGAGTCATAAATCGCATACAATTATGTGTTTATTCCTGAGGGTCTAGATAGTACTTACAACCGAATATATAAATCGAACAAAATGATTAACGATCAAGGGCAGAGAACGATTATGACCAGAGAGTATTAAAATCCACTCTACGTAAATGTTGAACCTTGAAGAATTTTCGCACAGTTCAGATGAGAGATATCGTGGGGTTTTATAGGGATACGATCACGTTCTTCACCTGTTTAGATAGATGGTGGTTAAGTTCGTTTTGTCATCGGTATGCTTACGGTGGTTTTGGTATATTTCTGAGTATATCGAGGAATCCGCGGTCTCACTGATTTTCTTGCCACCATGTCTAGCGGACACACCTTGCTATTTTTATACTTTTTATACTATTTTCTAAAGCTTACCAGTATATCTAAAGACGCGTCACCCTATTGTCCAATGCACCAATGTATCCGTAATGTAATCCGAGTAGAAATGCCACTCAGACCCATGCCCAACGTCCCATCGAATACTAATTCGTGACAAGTATCGAATTTCTGATCGTTTACCATAAAAATCTCAACTTTTTTTAAAATGTCCGAAAAAAGACCGGGAAGAAGAGTATAACGGACGTTATTAAAACTGGCATGGCAAGCCATGGGGTCATTTGAAAAAAAACGGGCAAACAGTTTTGAAACATACACAGTTCCCCTTCAGGCGTCGCTTTATTTAATATGTAACAATTATGTAGTTAGCGTGTAGTTACCATGTAAAAAATTAATTTGTTTGTTGACCGGTTTTGCTTAAACTTTATTTTATAAGCAATTTAGCAAAGATGAAAACTTAGATTTAATCAGTCCTGTAAGAAATCGATTTTATAATCGGATGAAACTATGAATTGAGAGCTGAGAGTGGTAATAAGCTAGTATAATTCGACCGAATAACAAAAACGATGGAATATGATGGAACTTGAATACAAATAATTCATCAGTATATTAACGGTATATTTCTGAGGGTCAGACCGTATATTTTATCGGAATATCCGCGGTCACACTGCTGACGATCTAAACATTGTTGTTTTGTATTGTTCAATTTGTATAAAATGAGAATGAATTGAATATGTGCGGTTGCACAAACCCAGAAGAGCTTGTTACGTGTTGCACAAATGTATGTGGAGAATAAAGACAATCAATAAACGAAAGGTGAGTGCAAACGAAGGTTAGCAAGGCTGAAAGGAAGGCGTCGTAAGTAAATGCCACCCGGCCCCGGCCCCAATTAGAAGTGGCAACAGCAACAGAAGCAACAACAAAGTTGCTTGCACCCGAAGACTGAGTCAGGCGTTTGATGATGATTGAATTGGATTATCACGATGTGGCTTTTTAAATTGCCATTCGACGCTGGCTGGCGAGCCGGCGTTGTAGTTGTTTACATTGCGCGGACGTGGCGCAATATATTTTTAATCTACTCTGCTCCGGCAACCTGCTGATTAAGATATTTCTTTTTGATAGATAACTTAAACGGCCTTCAGTATCGGCATGGATGTTGTGACGACAAACAGCGCTATGACAACGGCCACCGGAGCGGCAGGGGAATCCACATCGCCGCCATCCAGCAACGAAGCAGCGGCTGGATCCCAGAGCGATGCCTCCGAAGAGGAGGAGTATCTGGACAACAGCATTGAGCTTCGCGGCTATCTGAGCAAGTGGACCAACTACATCTACGGTTGGCAACCACGCTATATTGTCCTCAAAGACGGCACCCTTTCCTACTACAAATCCGAGTCCGAATCGGATTTCGGCTGCCGCGGCGCCATCAGCCTGACGAAAGCAACCATTAAGGTAAGGAAGGGTTCGGCACTCGCCTGCCAGAGAGCCCCAGCAAGTGTTCTTAATTTAACTAATAAAAAAGTAATGGGCGTGAGTGAGTGTGTGCGCATGTGTTTTGGTCAAATTAACCAACAAAACCGTCTCGATGACCACGACCCCGGCTTGATTCTATGTCCATTTCTATTCCCATTCCTTACTCGCATTTCCAGCGACGCAATCAATGCAGCGCAATCAATTAACGTTGCCTGGACAGCTATATACTCGAACGTCGACGAAAATAGACCAAATTGAAGTCATCAATGTAAGTGGGGGGCCCCCACCAGTCTGACTGCCAGCACACACACGGGGCACAGGGGCACGGACATTAATGTCTTTGACTGGGGTGTTGACAGAAGGGCGTTTCAAAATGAGTGTGCACTTGTGGCCCATACTTATCTATTTATACTGTCGAAGCGGCCAAGACCGACCCATATGTACATATGTCAATTTATAGTGGTGACTCATGCGAGGGATCCCTCCTGTAATTCGTACTAATTCCGAGCAAACAAGAGCCACTGATTGGAATGATTGTTCCCTCTTGTTGCAGGCCCATGAGTCGGACGAGCTGCGGTTCGATGTAGTTGTGAATAACTTGAACAACTGGTGCCTGCGTGCGGAGACCAGCGAGGATCGCATGCACTGGGTGGAGGTGCTCCAGCTGTATAAGGAGGACACTGGCAGCACGGACACCACCTCGCTGCGACGGCACGGCAGCACCATGTCCCTGCAGTCCAACACCATTTCGCTTACTAGCGGCGGAAGCCTCAAGAAGACCCAGCGCAACTTACGCGAGAAGGTCGGAGAGTTGGAGACCTTTAAGGACATTCTTTTCGGGCAAATAGAAACGCTGCAGCGCTACTTCGATGCCTGCTCGGAGCTAAACAAGAGCAATCCCCAGCCACTGGATTTGGGCGATGGCCTCAAGTGCATTGATTTCAAGGTAAAGAGGAATAAATACTTGGAAATAGTAGGGAGGAATGTAAAAAACATACTTATATTTAAAGGGCGAATCCATCACGTTTCGGGCCACAACATCCGGCGTGCTGACTACCCTGCAACATTGCCTGGAAATCATAGCAGAGAACGATGAGTCATGGAAGCGAAAACTGGAGCGTGAAATTGATAAGCGCCGTCGTTCTGAGGAGCAGAATAAGTAGGTTAACCCTCTCCCCCAAACTATGTCGAAACTAAGCCAAATTTTCGGGGGTTTCATTGCAGAAGATCCAAGGACGAAATCGAAAGGCTGAAACGCCTATCATATCCTGGCCCAGATTTCGAGGTGAGTTGCAATTTACAATTACAGTTCGGTGTACCACGTGCGTAATGGCGTTGCCTTGATTAGCACACAATAACCGACCGAATTGCGTTCACGGTCAGAGCAATTCGGGCCAAACACGTTCCCACTGCCATGGAATGCTGAATGCAAACATGGCAGAGAGGGACAGAGAAGGAGAAGCAATTTGCGTGCCCCGCCGCTTCATCTTAAAATAAACTCTCTTGTTGTATGGATTGGATGTTGTATCAACGGATTTCATCAGACGTGCGGAAAGTAGAACACGTCCGTATTATTTTTTAAACAATTTCCGATTGAATAATTGAGTATGTTATGTTTATTTTCCGATTGAATCTCATGCGCCGCATGCAATCCCTTTGCCGTTTAATTGCTTATCTCTCTGTTTTCCGTCATAATAGAGTTATTTTAGTGTTCTATTTCATTAATATTTGCCCTCCAACTATGGGTATGCATAAGAATATTATTTATTGATAGGCCCTATCAGATAGGCGATAGATTTTAGGAGATGGGCGTCTAGACCGTTTCAGTGGTTCGTATTGACAGTTTGATGTTGCAGAAGATTTACCATGAGCCAAGTATCTAGTCATTGAGGTTGACAAATGATCCCGTTTCAATAAATTATCGAAATGCACTTACGAAAATTGCGGTATATCCGTTTTTGATTAAACATAATAAATGAAGATAATGAGGATGAGTATAAATAAATAAAAGGAGAAATAAATAATCGTTCACTCAGGCTCTACTTTTGATGTAGGACTCTAAGTATATGCCCACTCTTTCAAAATACAGATAGGGCATTCC